CCATCAGCTGTGCGGCAGGGCACTGGGGAGCCGGCACTGCCGGTGACCCTGCTCTGTGCCGGCTTTGCCGTGCCGTGCATGGGCTCTGCCCCATGCTGTCTGCGTGGTCTCTGCTCACTGGAGCACAGCTTCTGCTCTTGCCTCTGTGTGTTTCCTGCGGACCTGGGCAGCATCTGCCTCATGGGGAGCTGAGGGGGATTGAGGGCTGGGGATGCTCAGGGGTGCTGACTCTTGCACTCGGATTCAGGAGCCATGTAGGGCCCTGGCAAAGGAGTCGGGGACATCCGAAAAGAAATGGCCCTGGGGGAGAGGAAGAGCAGTGAACGAGGCAACACAGGAGGGTGCAGGGTTCGTTTGAACAGCGGAGGCTGTCGCAGTGCCGCTGGCTTGGGCAGTGGCACTACAGCCTGTGTCACTAGGGTGGACCTCCACTCCAGGCATAAAATGGACAGCACTACTCCTCTGAGCTGTCACCTCCCCAGTCCCTGCTGCTCTGATCCTGTGTGCTGAGGGCAGCCAGTGACGGCAGGGTCAGGGCAGAGGACACGCAGCCCTGCCCATCCTGCCACTCCATACCCTGCTGGGGCTGGATGGCCTGCAGGTACGGGGGGTTCTGTGCGGGGCTGGAGACCCCTCTCTGATGGTTTCCTTCTGCAGGACATCGTGGCTGCTGGGGTGGGGGAAGCCCGGGAGGAGCATCCAGTGGCAGGTGAGGCCATATCTCCTGCAGCGCGTTGTGTGGCTGCCCAGGGGCTGGCACGGCTCGCACGGCCTGCCAACAGTGAGACAGGCGCTGCTGGGTGGGAAGGACAGGCTGCTGGGCTGGGGGGGACACACTGCTGTGTGTTAGCGGGTGAGGTGGCTTAACCTGGGCAGGCTCCTGTCAGGGGCCCTCCCACGCAGGGTCTCCTGTGACCGAGGGATGGACCCTGCAGCAGGGCAGCCAGAGTCCTGAAAAAGAGTGTGTGTTTCCAGCCATTAGCCTGCCCTTGTCCGTGCAGTTGCCTGCATGAGATGAGCGTGCAGGGTCTCTGCAGTAGGCAGTGCTGGCGGATGCCGTGGGCTGGCTGGCCCCACTGCTGAGCAGGGAGCTGCAGTCCTCTCCCACGCATGGCCTGGCCCGGAGCCGTCATTCCTACCCCAGTCTCTGCCTCTGGGCTCTTTCTGAAGGAAGCTCAGACATGGTGAGGCTGTGAGCCAGCAGCTTTTGGGGTGGTCACCACAATACCCCTCATGTCTGTGATCCCTGGGGGAAGACAGGAGGGAGCTCTCGGAGCCAGCTGGAGGGATGTGAGAACCTGTGACTTTGAGCGTTAAATACTAATGTCCTTGCTGATGTTTGAAGCCCAGGATGGCTCCGACTCAGACAGATCCTGCTGGCCTGTCTCATCTGCCCTCACAGCCAGACTGCGGAGGCTTGTCACCGTCTACCAGCGCTGCAACCGCAAGGAGCTGCCTCCCCGTGCCGAGATGCTCATGCCCGGTAACCATGGATACTGGCTGCAGGACGAGATGTTCAGGAGGGCCTCTGAGATGGACTCGGTGAACAAAGAAATGCAGAAAAGGTAACGCAGCAGAGGATCCTTTCCAAAGCTGATTTAGGCCAGTTGAAATCCTTCTGCCCCTGGATTTACCCAGGGAAATGTCACCACGGCTGTCCATGCAGCCAGCTGCCCACATGACAGAGGCACGTGGGTCCTTGCTGGGCAGGGAACGCTGCTCCCAGCTGCGATGAAGCCTTGTGGCTCTGGCAGCCACCCCGGCTGTGGAAGCAACCTCCACTGTAGTTTGCAGGTAGTAGCTGGTGACACAGTGAAAGGAAGCAAGGGAACAGCTCTTCAGGGTCAAATCCAGTGTCCGCTGGGCCAGGAATCACCCCCCAGCCCCAGCAGAGCAGGCGCTGCTGAGCAGTATTGTGCACTTGGGACACACCATGGATGAGGGGTGACAGATGAGCGCTGTCACAGCCCACGTCCGTAGCCTTTCTGACCCTCGTGGCTCTCACACTGCCGCGTTAGCCTCCTCCTTGTGGCCTCGGGAGCCCAATGGTGGCATGTCCTGGTTGCAGTGTACTCCCATTTCATTTGCATCCCAGTAAGTAAAAGGATGGTGGGACCATCCTGGCACCCTGAGTGGCTCTCTGCAGAAACTGGGGAGGATGTGCAGCCAGTTGGTGCTGCCTCCATCACTTCCAGTCCCCAGTGTGCAGGCCTGGGACTTCCTGAACTGCAGAGGCCCTCTGTGGTCCACAGTCCTCAATGGTTTTGTGTCCTGTGAACCTGTCCCCATTGCAGGAACCCACATAACCACTTGGTATCTGTGCTGCCTTGTGCTCTCTGTTCAGGGCCTCCTTGTATGGAAGCTGCTTCAGCCCACTGATCTTCCCTCTCCCCTTCCTCTGGACCTCTTCCACTTGTACCATCCCCTCCTCAAGGTGGGGCATCAGTGGTTGTGCTGTGGCCACCACAGCAGCCTGGTATTTCCTGCTCTTTAATTCTATGGGCTTTTTTTTATCGTGTCTCTTTACAGGAGTGTCCTAGGCAGTTTCGCACCAGCCTTTAATGTGAGGGCTTTCAACAAACTCCCCGTTGGGGTCCTTGATTTGGACCATTGATTTTTTTAGTTAACTTCTTGTTATTCTCCCTTTTGGAATGAAATATCACTGCAGAGGGCTCACAGACCCTGGGAGCAGGGGTGGAAATGCTGATCTGGGTGTATTTTGGTCAGTTGGGGAGTGCTGTGGATGCTGTCACCCTGTCTGCTCTCCCTTGACATGTCCCAGCTGCTTGCTGGTGCTGGCTCAGAGCTGCAATTCACAGGAGCTGAGATTTGACTTTGAGCTTCCTTCAGCCCACAGCACTCACCTTTCTCTGCTGTGACCTGCTCCTGCACCTGCCCTGCAGTTTGCACCCTAGTCTGTTCTCTGTGGCCTGTTCCTCTGTGCTCTGTTTGCTGGGGGCAGTATTCGCTCAGGATGTTCTTCACCATCTCTGTCCTGGATCGTTCCTTTGAGTGATCCCCACAAAGTGAAGGCTCAGAGGGTCCAAGCCAGAATGAAAGTTGTGCTCTAACAATGTTGTAACTGAAACCCTCCATCGCCATGGCTGCTTTCCTTTGATGGGGAGGGGGTGACACCCACCCCTGGCACCCAGGAGTCCACAAGAGTCAGCAGGGTGGATGGTGTTTGGTACTGGGACCCTTATGGCAATGAACCTGAGTCCCAGTTTCCCACTGGAAGAGGCTGGATGAGAGCTGTGTCTGCAGGACCTTCCTTTCTAATTCCCGGTACAGAGAGTTGGCCTTTCTATGGAGGTGATGAGACAACTCGATGTGGCAGGAAGCGAGTAAGTGAGAGAGGTTTGTGCCTCCACAGAAGCTGCTGGAGCCTGCGTCCCATCACAGCACAGCCAGGGGCTGTGCTTAGTGTTTTTTCCAACAGCCGAGAGTGTTTTTTCAACAGGGAGCCGAGAGCAAGAGGTCCTGTGGCCTTTGCTCCTCCTCACTATGCACCATAAGGCAGAGGATCTCAGGATCTCAGAGGATCTCCCCGGTGTGCTCCTCCTGGCAGCTCCCCCAATACTGGTGGGCAGTAACTAGATAGTCCTCTGAGCCTCTCTGCCTGGTGCCTTGCCCATGCTGGGACCAGAACGCGTCTCAGTGGTGTTCGTGTCTCTTCCCTGCCCCACAGGTGGACCAGGAGGGAGCAGGCAGATTTCTACCGCACTGTCTCCTCCTTTGGGGTTATCTATGACCAGGAGAAAAAGATCTTTGACTGGGCCCAGTTCCGAGCCATCTCTCGACTGGAGAAGAAGACAGATGAGAGCCTGGAGAAGTACTTCTACAGCTTCGTGGCCATGTGCAAGAATGTCTGTGGTCTCCCACTGTGGAAAGAGGATGGTGAGTGGAAATTGCATGGTCTATGGAGGGGTCATGGTAGTTCCATGTAGCCATAGATCTGAAACAGTCTCACTGCTCTCGTGCAGCAGGAGAGCAAGGGAGGAGTTGCAGGGACTGTTGGAGGCAGCGAAACACCGGGCAGGCTACGGGCTTGCAGAAACCACGTGCATTTCTGGCTGCCTTGTCACCGCCATATGCCACCTCCCCAGCGCAATGGGAAGGTAAGGCAGCCCTGTGGGCTCCAGCCCCTGCTCTCACAGGTCTCAGAGAGCTCTTCCATGAAATCACAACCAATTTTATCCAAGACAGCAACCTCTAGATGTGAGGGAGAAGTAGAGAAGCAGCAGATCACATCTCCACACTGGACCTGGGGGTTGGTTGGGTGAACTGCATTGCCGCTTTCTTTATGAGCAGCTCTCTGCTGGCACTGAACAGAGTCCGCGCAATGCCTGTGCTGTGGCGTAGCTGACTAGAGAGCTCTGCTACAGGGTAAAGGGAGTCTGAACTCACCACAGGAGGCTTGGGAAGCCTGGCCAACACACAGGGCATGCATTTTCTCAGAGTGCTCTGCAGAGCCCCAGTGCATCAGCACTGTGCAGGACACGGCAGATGAAAAGCTGCTTGGGGGCTATTTAAGCACAAAGCGATTTGCTTCTAACAGCAGCAGAAAGGATTTCATCTCAGACCTGTCAGGGGGTCTGGTCTCAGGTACAGTTCCTTGGATATGTGCATTAATGCCTTAGGTAAGTGTTCCTCATCAAAAGAGCTGCGCGAGTTGAGGGACTCCCCTGAGAACCTGCTGAAGGGCTACCAGAGGCCCAGACCCCACGGAACCTCTCCGCTGACAGGTCCAGGCAGCTCCAGCACTGCTGGCATTGATGGAGCAGAGCTCTGACAAGATTCTGAAATCCTTTGCAGCTAAGTGCCACTCTTGGTCCAGCTGCTAATGTCAAGGAAGTTTACTCCCATGTGCCCATTTGGTGACAAATGAATGGAAGGTGGCAAGACTGGAAAAAGAAGCCTCAACAGTGGCTACAAGCACTCCCCCCACCTCACCTGCAGTCTGAGCAAGAGTTAAAACTCACCTTGCTTGTCACTGCCCCTGAGTAACTCTCATCAATCTGTGTAACAGGGCCTTGGCTTTTCTGTCCCTGCTGTAGGTCCTCCAGACCCTGACATCTATGTGGAGCCCATCACAGAGGAACGTGCTGCCAGAACCCTCTACCGTATTGAGCTTCTGCGAAAGGTGCGCGAGCAGGTGCTCAAGTGTCCACAGCTCCACGAGCGGCTCAAGCTGTGTCGGCCGAGCCTCTACCTGCCAGTGTGGTGGGAGTGTGGCAAACATGATCGGGACCTGCTGATCGGCACCGCCAAGCATGGCCTGAATCGCACTGACTACTACATCATGAATGACCCCCAGCTGTCTTTTTTAGATGCATACAGGAACTATGCCCAGCATAAAAGAACGGGGCTCCCAGGCCCAGAAACCCTGTGCTGCCTTTACCAGACTAACTCCAAACTCTACAGTTCCCCTCTGTACAGCCAGGTGGACCGGACTTGCGAATCCCTGGAGAATGAAGCTGAGAGTCAGATCAAGCTAGAAGCTGTAAACACTATGTCCCAGGCCGGGGGCAGTCCACCGGATCCAAACTCTGAAACATTCATGTCTAAAGTCCAGGACATCATTTCCAGTAACTATGATGAGAGCTCTCTGCCGGACTCATTGGTGTGCATGATGTATGATGAGAAGGCTTGTAACAGCGAGCAAAGCTCCCTTGCTCGAGACAGCCCAAGTTGCACAGATGTTGGAAGCAGCATTGCTAAATTCTCTGAGGGCAAGCTAGAGGGGGATGAGGATCCGTCCAGCTGTGATGCAGATGCCATGAGAGAGACTCCCTTCCTAGAGGGTTTGCAGGTGGGCTGTGACCGAATGGACAGTCAGAACGAGGAAGCTGAGCCTCTACCTTCTACTCCCGAAAGCGACCCTTCACGGAGCATCCCAGCAGAGCTCTGCGAAGCCTTGCAGCAGAAGGGAGACCTCACCAGCCCTGCGCCAGTGCCGCCTGAGCATGGTGCCATGGAAGGGGTCATAGGCGTGGGGCTCTACAGTCCCAGTCTTCGTAACTATGAAATGAAGGTTCCTCCTGAGCAGAGATTCATCAGTCTGCTGCAGGAGAAAGGAATGGAGGCAAAGTCAGGGCCAAGTCAGAGCCACAGTGAGGAAGATGAGGAGGAAGAAGAGGATGATGATAACTCTGAGGCAGCAGCAGATGTTGTGGAAGGCTTGAGTGGTTCCAGGACCAGGGCTGGTTTTGACCCCGAGGCTAATGAACTGGGGGGCGAGGAGCAGAGCTCTGGCCTCCCCACACCTGAGGACACTTGCCCAGAAGATGTGAATGGCGAGAGAGAGTCCCTGGAGCTGGGGACACCCGAAGGGCTGGGGGAACCCAGGCCAGAGGGCAGGGAGGACCATGGCCTGGATGAGGAAAGCACCCTGCAGCACTCACCAGGCCAGGCTCAGAGTCAGGCTTTCAGCCTACCTGCACCTCTGCTGGGGGCCCCAGGGGTAGACCCCCACTGTGCCAGAGGGGAGGCCTGGGGCCGAGCGGCGGAGGGGCAGGCAGGCTGCAGAAAGGCCCTGCACCCGGAGCCCCAGGGAGTGAAGCAAGAACAGTGTGAGAACAGAGATGAGGAGGAGAAAGCCAACAGCAACCAGAGTCAAGGTACGGTCCTGAGAGCTCCTTCTGGTTGACAGTCACCTCTGGCTGGGGTGGAGGGGACCTGCTGGCCTCCCTACAGAGCCAAAGCCTTGGAGCTTCTAGCTGATGTGATTGGGGAACAAAGGGTTGGTGGCTGCATTTGCCAGCAGGACTGGCCAGAACCCCCCACCCTTCTGCCACGAGCGTCCCATGGAGTGCAGGAGACCCTTCCCTTCTTGGCACAGGGCACTGCCTGGCAAGCATGTGCCCTCACCCATGGGGACGGTCAGGGATGGGAGCCACTGCCCTTCCTGAGCAGCGTGGGCCCAGCATGACCCAGGGCTGCTGCATTTCTTGGTGGCTGGTTGGGGAATGGGACCCTTGTGGAGCCAGCTGGGTGCTGGGGTGGGAAGGTGTGAGGTGTTGCTCCTGCCTCAAGAGGGCAAGAGAGGCAGGGCAGTGATGGGCTCTGTTCTCTGTCGCTTTCTCAGATGGTCCGGAGAAGTACTTGGAGGAAGAGAGCAAGAGTTCTGCTTCTGTCCTGCCCGGGGAGATAGATGACCTTCAGGATGCCCGGGCACCGACCATAGCCCAGCTGCTGCAGGAGAAGACGCTTTACTCCTTCTCTGAGTGGCCTAAGGTGAGTTAAAAATTAACACTGTTTGTATTGCAAATGTTACTGCGTAGTCCTAACCAGTAGTGGCTCACACAGCCCCAGCTTGGCCTCCTGGTCCTCTGCACACAGCCCCCCATGGATGCTCTTGACTGGGCTGCTCTACCCAGGCATCCGTGCCGTGGACACGCCTGCCCCAAAGCAGTTCCCTGCCAAGCTGAGGTCACGAGGGCTGGGTTTGTCTTTAATCCTGAGATGACATACACGAGTCAGTCATTCGAGTCCCAGCGGGCCACTGTCCAATTCTGTTTGCAGGACCGTGTGATCATCAACCGCATTGACAATATCTGCCATGCCATCCTGAAGGGCAAGTGGCCTTCCTCCAGCCAGCAGTTTGAGACACAAAGCCTGCTGACGGCTCCAGCGGTAGCCAGCAATGCCGGCAGCAGGAACAGCTTTGCTGAGTCAGAGGCCGCCGATCCCAGCTTCAATAACGGGTTGTTAATCTCACAGGTACAAAAGGTGAGGGGGGCCCTTGGGCAGGGACAGGCTTGGGACTCTGGGGTGAAGCATTGCCCAGAAGTGCTCAGGAGCTTCACAAGCGGGGCCTGGGTTTTCACTGCCTCTTGGTGCCACTTGCAGCACGTAACACTTGGCTTAAGCCACATGGTCCCCTCCACTGGGGGCTCCTGGCGAGCACCCTGTGCTCTCAGTCCCCTGCCAGCCCTGCTCCCCTCCTGGGAAGACGGCTGTTCTGCGGCAGCTCCGCAGCTCCTGCAGCTGTAGAAGTGCCTCCAGAGTCAGCGCTGGAGTACTTGGCGTGGTCAGGGGGAAAAGGGGACACTGCCCTGGTGTCACAAAGGAGAGGGTGCAGGGAGGGCACTGCCCCGTCAATCACCAGCTCGCTCTCATCTCTCACCATTGGACACAGCACAGAGACAGAAGCTGCTGGCCTGGGACCCCAGCCCAGCTGCCTAGCAGCTGATGGAGCACACAGGATTATAGCACCTTGGGAGATCATAGTGGGTGTGTGGGTGCTCCTGCACCATCCCCACACAGGGAAAGCGAGTTATGATGTGCCCAGGGAAAGGGCATCTTTCAGGGCTCCTGTGGAGAGGCAGAAGAGCCTGACCCTTAGCTCAGTGTTGGTTTGAAGAGCTGTGGTCCCTGGGCAGTGCATGAGCAGCCATAACCCTTTCCGTGGCGTTGATACACACAGGAAGGTTTCCTGACCCCTGCCTTTGCAAAGGATGAGCGGAAGCACAGGAGGCCCTATGAATTCGAGATGGAGAGAGATGCCAAACAGAGGAGCCTGGAGCAGCTAGCAGCAACCCATGTTCATCCACCCATTGTGCTGAACGGCTGGCGCGACACAGCAGTGGACTTGTCCAGAGCCTCTGATGGGTCCCCAGGGAACTCCTCTCCTTTCGCCCTGAACACAAACATACCCAAACTGGGAACCGTGAACACTCTCCAGGGCTCCCTGGGCATGGACTTGTCTGGCATCCTCCAGGCAGGGTTAATCCATCCTGTCACGGGACAAATTGTAAATGGCAGCCTCCGAAGAGACGATGCCGCCATGCGGAGGAGACGGGGCAGGAGAAAAAATGTAGAAGGGATGGATCTCATCTTCTTGAAGGAGAGGCCTCTTCCAACAAGGCTGCAGGTGGGTTGATGCTCCCTCCTTTCACATGGCCCCAGTGGAGTCAGCACGATTTGTCTCATGGTCCAGCTCTCCCCTACAAGCTCTGCTGACAATGCAGGACCACCTCCAGGACAGCTTGGCTTATGCTGGAGCAGGCAAGAGTGGTTACTACTGCAGGGAGGAAGGGAGGTTTTCCCGCTGGCTTGCAGCACTCTGCCTGGAATGTTTGAGTCCTGCTGAGCATTGTCAAAAGCAGCTTTCACACCTCAGGGGGTGTCTAGGGTTAGAGAACACGAGGAAAGGTCCTTGACTGCACTGGAGCTGTGGCCAAGAGCCTGCTGCACCCTTTCTCCTTCTGCCCTGGGATCCACTCAAAGAAGAATGGGGCTCTGGGAGCAAGACCAATCCCTCTAGACCACTTTTAGGAGTGATCTGGGGGGACGTTGGTCCTCCTGGTGATTAGGGTGTTTCCAGGTGAGTTCAGAAGCATCTCCATGCTCTCTCTGCCCTCTGTGCCACCAGTGCTGGGGACTGAGTGGAAGTGTAGTGTGGTGGTGGGTGGCAATTTAAGGAACGGGCACTGGAATATGTGGATTCATCTGTGTGATGGGAGCAGATGACCTGCTTTGGGAGCTCTGCTTATCTGGGTGCATGTGCATCACCATGTGCTGCTGATGGGCTCTCCTTGCTCCTCCCTCCATGTCAGGATGTTCAGGAAGACCAGCCGCAGCCCCCCCAGAACAGTGCCCTCCCCGATGGGCCGGTTGCTGCTACCTCAACTCCACAGCCAGTCCCAGCTGCAGGCAGCCAAGCAGAGAAAGCTGTCCCAAATAAGAGTCTCCTCGACTGGCTCCGTCAGCAGTCCGACTACACACTCGACGTTCCCGGCTTTGGCACAGTAAGGGTGGCCTTCAGTGGCACGTGTGTGTGTCTGCCTTGTGTGTTGCCCTTTGTGTTAGATTTTCTGTGGTTGCTCTTGAGTTCAGGGCTTCCACGAAGTGTCTCAAAATGCAGCCTTTTTCCCTGTACCGTGGCTTGTGGTGTTCATCAGGGCTGTTTGGGAGGCAGGCATGGTTCCCTGTACAGCAGTGAAAGGCACTTGCTGAGCTGCATCCTCCTGCCCCAAGGTCCATTCTCCAGCTCCAGTGCATCTGTCTGCCCAATGCACAATTAGTCCAATGTCTTCCAGAAGCACCAGGGATGGGAAGAGAAATGGGAAAGGGGATTTGGGGTGCTCAAGGTTGATCTGTCTGTGTTGCGCCCTTTCACCTGGTGTCATTTTAGGCAGTGCTGTGGTATTAAATGCAGTCCCCAGACAAGAGGAAACTTCCTTGCTTTAAAATCTGGACTGAAGAGGCTGTGTTGCAGGCTGCAAAGGCTGCGGTTGCATGGCCGCCGTCAGAAAGCAGAGTGGCAGAGGGTGGGGTGCAAAGTCCATCTCATTCTTCTTGCCGTCTCATAAGCATCCACCTCTTGGTTGCACACGTTGGTTTGCTCCAGGTTTCAGCTTATTTAGCCTATTAGGCCATGTGGTAGGCAGAGCACAGGCTGTAAAACCGAGTAGGAAGAAATGTGGTGGTAATACGTAAAAGACTGCGCATCTTGGTCCTGGAGGATTGTGTGCCTGAGGCAGGGATTCCCTGGAGCTTGAAGTACAGGCAAGCCGTTAGTGTTCTGGAGCTCATTAAGAGATGAGCGAAGAGGAGCCCAGCATTTGCTCGAGCAGGATGGTCCTTGCTTTTCAAAGTCCAGAGATACATGCAGCTCTGTGCCCAAGGCCAGACTCCCATGAGCACTGCAAGAAGCAGTCAGATGGTGGAGCAGTCATGGAGGTGCCTTCCCACACCTTTCCATCACCCTTGCCTTCCCTGGGGACTTGCTGGAGCTCACCCAGTCTGGCCATGCTGCTGGTGAACCCTTGTCCCCAGCAAACCCCCAGTGCCCTGGGCCAGCCCTGCAGGATTGCCCTGGTTGGGATGGGTGTCCTCTCTCCAGGTAGGATGGATTGAAAGCTGCTTTGGGGTACTGCAGCAGCTCAGCTTGTTGAAGGACAGACCAAGCTCAGGGTCTTTTCTTTGGCTCTCAGGAGTCAGAGCCTGCAGTAGTTCGTTATAATGCTACATCCCTGTGGGCACATTGATGCCAGGACTTGGTGCACGCATGGGTGTGCAACAACTCAGCTGTGACTCTGTAGGTTGTGGTCCTGAAGGGCTCTGATCCCAAAGAAACGTGATGCAGCAGCTCTGCAGTGGAAACAGCTGAAATGGGAGCGAAACAAAGCACAGGTGAGCCGACGAGAAGTGGGTAGCTGTATCAGACTGACATGAGATGGCACGCACAGACCTGCTCTCTCTTTCTTTCCTAGTTATAGTTAGCACCCCGTTTACAGATGCCTATATATGGATTGGCAGCAGGTTACAGTTTTAGGATGAGAGGGGAATTAGAAAGGGCTTGGGCAGTCTAAGTGGGGTACGCTGAAAACCCCTTTATACCTACAAAAATCAATTGTGCTCATTTGAGAGCTGGCCCTGGGGCAGAGACCAGTTTGTGCTGCTCACGCTGCTCCTGCCCAAGTCTGCAGGAACCCTGTGTCCCTCGGGAGCTCATCTGTGCCACTCTCCTGCAGGGCTTGCAGCCGTCCAGGCTCATTAAGCCGTCTAGTCTCATTAACATTGTCTTGTTTGCACTCCAGAATTTTTCAGACAAGCCCAAGCAGAGGAGGCAACGCTGCAAGGACCCCAGCAAATTGGACGTTAACTCACTCACGGGAGAGGAGCGGGTGCCTGTGGTACATAAGGGTACCGGACGGCGGGTAAGCGAAGGCCTGTTCTGTGCTCTGCCCTTGCTGTCTTGAAACGCTTAGCAGACCCCGAGCTCAGCTGGGGGGAGATTTAATCCAGAGAAGCCTATGGATGGGACAAAAGTCTGGAACACGTCACTGATCTACACTATCCTATGACACGTGTGTGCCCAAGGGGACACAGACCTGCGAAATAAGTGACTTTCTGTGTGAAGTAAGGAAAGTCTGAGTGTTCTCCCTTGCCAGGGTACACAGACCCCACGATGGCAAAGGGGTTCAGCCTTTGGCTTTAAAGTTGCCATCACCACAGCCCTGGCTGGTGCTTCCCGTTCCAGATTTGATTGTTCCCCTTGAATTCACTGCAATATACCACAAATTGTAATATTGACATGCAAATACCTTTGTTTTGTTCCTCCTTACGAGGTGCAGGCAGAGCACACCAATACCCATCCAAGTGCTGGGCAGGCACGAAGTGGAGGGTTTGAAGGGCTTTTTCTTGCTTACTGAGCAAGGAGCATGGATTTACTTGTCTGCAATTTAATCTCCAGTGCACTGGTGTTCACCTCTCTGAATGAGAAGGGACGTTCAGGGATACTTTCCACCCAAATTCAGTTCTTAAACACACCCATGCCTGTACTACATCAGAAGGTGATGTGACATTAATCACATCTAAAACCAAAACTAAAGAGTGAGGCAGAAAGAGGCTGTTTCAGCCACCTCTGTGTTTCCCTCTGTTACGCCCACGGTGGCCATTGGAGACCTGGGTGAATTGGTCAGTTTGTCCGGTTCTGAGCATGGCTTTTATCGAAGCCCTGTCCCCATCACTTATTCATGGGGAGGGCAATGGGACAGGCCACAGAGGCTGAACTTGCCTTTTCTCCCTGAACTGTGTGCTTGGAGGCAGCAGGCGCATACCGAGTCCTGCAAAGATGTGGAGCAAGGGAAGAGTCTCTGCCCCAGCCAAATTGCAGCCCAAAGCAAGGAGCTAGGGGAAGTGTAATCGTATTTCTTGTATTATTTTACATAACTCTTTCTGCAATAGAGGTCATCCTTCTGCTGTGTTTTATAGTTAGGGGGAGCCACGGCACCAGCATTGAAGGAATTGCCAAGGTGGCTTGATGCAAACTTGGAGTATGCTGTTGCAGCTGACTGGGCTGACATTGTTAAGCTTTCAGTAAGTTAGAGCTTTTGGAGAAATCTGTATCATGTCATCTTTTCTTTCCCCTCCCCATCCCCACAACCTTTCTCCAGTGAGGATCTGGGAGCTGCGAGGCAGGACCTCAGCTGCACACACGGGAGGGGATAGCGGCAGGGCCGGCAGCACCGGGAGCACTTGCATGGCAGAGAGGGAGGTTGGGCATGTGCCGTAGCTCAGCGGCACGGCCAGGGGAAGAAGAGAAGGGGGTCAGCGCCCTGGAAACGGGGCTCAGCAGCTGAGGGTGACTGTCCAGAAAGCCTCGGGATGCTTAGAAATAGCAGGGGCAAAGAAATCTCCTAGGAGCAGTAATCCATCTCAGGTGCTGGATGGTGGGGAGTGGACAAAACGTATTCTTGCACGTCAAATTTTAAAAAACACCCTCAGCTGAGGCTTTTCATCAGCTCCTGCAAACTCTGCCTGTGCAGCCCTGGGCCTGCTAAAGGCCCTGCAGGTCACCAGGCCTGAAGATCTCAGGCACTGGCAGGGAGAGGGGCAGGATGGAGCCGAGCCTCACGATGTTCATTCACCTTGTTGGTCGCACCAGTCCCTGCTCCGGTGCGTGGCAGAGCCGGAGGAGGAGGAGGAGCGCTCTCCCCTCCAGCACACGGGCACTGCCAGATCGCCCTTCCCCACCCTGCGGGCTGGCCTCATCCAGACTTCTTCCTGCCGTCCCTCTCACCTGCTCCCTGTTTTTGTGGCTGCAGTGGTTTGTGTGATGCCCTTGCAGGGGGCTGGAGGGCGGAATCAATTGGCTTAGAGGTTTGTACTGCTCTCAAATTTGCTTTTAATCAGCACTGGAGATTTGGCATGGTCTGTCCCACTCCCCGGGAAACAGCTCTACGTCCAAGCTGGCATCAGCGCCCTGTCTGGGTGGCCAGCACCCATGCGAGCTGGCAGCTCTTCCTTACCTTCGTTTGCAGGGAAGGGTCTCTTTGCCGGTGGGAAGAGCTGTGTGCCTGGCCACCGCCCCAGGGCACCCGCTCACGTGCCCTGGTTCGGTGGCTGCATGCCCGTCAGCGTTTGCACCCCTGAGCCCCATCAGCACTTTGCTTTTGGCGAGTGCGCATCCTTCCTGGCACCACATGCAGAGGTACGTCTGGCTGCTCTGGGCACCTGGGCAGGTGGGGTCAGCTGCCCTGCAGAGCCCAGGCATGGTCATGGCCCCATGCCGGTTCTCCCACGTGCCAGTGAGAGCAGACCAGAAGATTCTCCCTCTTTGGGCAATAGCTGTGCTGTGCAGACTGCCCGGGTCATTTGATTCAAGTTTCTACACTGCAGCTGTCAATGGGAAACATTTTTCCTACCTACATCTATTATCGGAAATGGTTCAAAGGGTGGCTATATTGAAACTCAAGGGAGCCACAAAGGGAAATACGTAAATGTCTGTGATGAAGATGCTGAAAAATGGAGTTTTAAACTGTGCTATGGATCCCCCCCCGACTACTCTGTGTAACTGGACAGCCTCATCCAGTTGCGGCCACTGGGTTTTGGTCCCGTATCTGAATGCTCAGAAGGACCTTCCTGGTGTCTCAGCGAAGCTCTGACCGGGAGCTCCTCAGACAGCATGTCCACTCTCTGTGTGTCATCCCGTGCAGCTTTGCTGTCCTACAGAGCATTGAAAATTTGGCCCTTCGCATCTAAAAGACATGATTTTTCACCTGTCGCTGAAGCCACAATTAAAGCTGGGAAGGGAGCTAAGTTGGTGTCTGACACAGAGCTGCCCCGGTGCTTCTCATGTTGTGAACAGCCGATGCTGAGGGCTCGGGTGAAAATGCAGGGTAACAATGTGCTTCCTCCTTTTCTCCCTGTGCACTTTGACACTGCAGTCTCATGTCAGGGCAGAGTGAGGGTGTTTTGCATTTGGCAGCATCCCTTGGGGAAAAGTTGTGTGTACCTCTCAAGTTCCATATCATGTAGGCAAATATTTCTGTGCTGACACCATCTGGGATGCAGATGCGAGCACAGAAAAGCCAGTTTTCCTTTGATGCAGTAATAACTGTTGGGTGTTTTCTGTTGTGTGTGTTTTGTTTTCAGGGCTACTTACCGGAAAGCAAATTCAATCGCATCCTAACCGAGCCTGTGCTCCGTGATGCAGGGCCTCGCCGGAGGGGGAGAAGGCCCCGAAGCGAACTCATTAAAGGCCCCGGTGTTGTAGCAGATTCTTCTTCTGGAATGGGACCATTGTTCATGAACGGACTGATTGCTGGGATGGATCTAGTGGGACTTCAGAACATGAGAAACATGCAAGGGATCCCTCTGACCGGGCTGGTTGGGTTTCCTGCTGGATTTGCAGCAGTGCCCGCAGGCGAGGATGTGAAAAGCACCCTGAGTATGTTGCCCATGATGCTGCCGGGCATGGCTACCGTACCACAGATGTTTGGCGTCGGAGGACTTCTCAACCCCCCCATGACAACTACTTGTACTGCGACTGCCCCGACTTCGTTAACAAGCACAACGAAAAGTGGTACAGCCAACGCAGAGAAAGCTACTGAGGATAAACAGAGTAGCCAGGATGTGAAAAAAGAAACTCTCTCGGAAGATAAGCCTGGTCCTAGTTCGTTTTCTAATCAGACAGAATCTGCAATAACTACCAGTAGTCCTGTAGCTTTTAACCCGTTTCTTATCCCAGGGATGTCTCCTGGACTGATCTATCCCTCAATGTTTCTTTCCCCTGGCATTGGCATGGCGCTGCCCGGCATACAGCAAACCAGACACTCGGAGGCAGCAAACCTGGAAAGCCAGAAGCGGAAGAGAAAGAAAGCAAAAGGGGAATTGGCAAACCCAGAGCCAGAAACTGTCTCGCTGCCAGAAAAAGAAGCTGCGAACAGTCAAAACTGTACAGAGCAAACACCGCCTTTGTCGGCAGAGAAAGAGCAGGATGGACCAGCAGAGGAGGAGCGCGAAGCGGCTCGCGATACCAATTAGAACTTTTGTTTCATTGAAAAAAAACACAGAAAGATTGTGGCTTGTGAGTTTCTTATCCCATAAACTCTTTGTTACTTACCCTCCCGCCCCGCTCCGCCTTCATAAACCTGTGTTTCCATGAGTAATATTATCTACCTAATCCCCTGTCAGAAAAAAACTGGTGACATACTACATGTTAATAGTTGCAGGGTCTTGCCACTTTATTAGATAAACAGTGTTGTCTAGCTAGTATGGGAGGCACCGAATTCTTGTTCTGTTTTTCCAGTCGTTCATCCCAGTCGACGATAGCAAATCCAGTACTCGGTCACCCCCCCAAATTGCTCACTCCTTGGAGAAGAAAAAGCGGCAAAAAAAAAACAAGAGCAAAAGAAAAGTCTTTACCTCTTGGTCTACACGCAGACAAGGGTATTTCTGTCTACAGCGACACTGAACGAAAAAGCCTGTATTTGGGGGTAAAAAGCACAGCTATAGTAAGTGCTAATCTGTATTTTTGATTTAAAGTATTTCCCTATTTTATCATGGTTACTAGAATAGTAGTATAGACAGAAGTATATAACTAATGATTGAAAATGCATATATTCATTTCTTTGAAAGGAAAAAGCATAACTGGTAGTGATATAATTTCTTTTATCACCCCCACCTCAAAGGTTTGGACAAACCGCAGCGAGTGAAAATATGATGTAGACATTCTTTTGTATTTTTTAAAGCCACAGTTTGGTTTTACGTTAAGTGGAGTTTAGTTGCCTTTTCCTCAATAGTTACAAGAACTTTTCAGCTTGAGCTGGAAAGGTTTTGCACATCTTGCATGACTTTTTTGGGATTACTGTACCTGTAGCTACCAGTTTCTTCATCATTCTGCTAGTCTTCAGTTCTCCTCTATGGTGTTAGTTCTCATCTATGGCATTAGAAGTGCTGTAAAGGTATTTTTTTTCCAGCCGTGAACAGGCCACACTGATTTTAATGCTCTTATATGAACACTGAGTCTTTTTGAGTTTTCATAGTTTCCACTCCTTACCCCAGAAGCAACGTCCTTTCAGCAAACAAGGAAAAGGCTGTAGGCCAGCTTTCCTGTTTGGGGAGTCCTCTAAGAGACTTTCAGAGCTTGAGTTTCTTCTTTTCTAGCGTTAGACTGTGAAGAGATGACCTTGGCTTCTTCTTTCCATTCCGTTTGCTGTTGAACAGTATTTCCGAGTCCCACCCCCATTGGCAAATGATTTTGACATCTGCATTTTAAATGGACAGGTTTTAATGCTGTCAGCCCCCCGCAGCTCCGGGTACTGAGACTCCTCCACAGGCAACTCTTCTTATTCCTCCTTCCCCTCGCTCCTCGTGTAATTTTTCTTTCACTTGGGCTTGTTCGTATTTGCAGCTCATGGTTTGAGACTTGAAATAAATCCATGATGGTGCAGCAGTGAGATAAAAGGCAGGCTGGTGAGGGAGTTGGGAGCGTGCTAGTAATCGGTTTCACATTTGGTTGTCACAATTTACTGTATTTTTTACTTATTTTCTGTTACAGTTTTGCTAATTTATCAGATGGTCCAAATGTTTTGACATAACTATTTCAGTTTGCATTATTTATTTATGATGCTTTTTGTCATTGTCTTTTATACATTTGGGATTATAAATTATGTACATGTTAAAATTAGCATCTCAAAGAAGTCTGTTACCCATGGTCTAAAAAGCATTTGGTTTATATTTTCACGGAATTTATTCCCAGTTTACTGGATTGGATGATTTTTTTTAAGTATGTAACCAATCATAATGCAACCCCCCTCCCCTATAATTAAATGTGTTCTATTTAATAACATCCTTGTAGCATAGATACTGTATCACTATCGACAGATTTCTTAGAAATGCTGCTATCTCTATTTAACTAACATTTTGTTCAGTTTTGCCTCCAGTGGAAGCAGAAAGGGTTTTTTCAGCTGTTAAATCCAAAATCAATATAATTTATTTATGTAAAAAAAAAAAAAAAAATCACGATTGATATATTTTTGAACCTTTTAAGTACTAACTTTCTTTTTATTCAGTAGAAGAACATGTACTTGCCCTAAATCCTTAAAATACAAATGCTATAAAACTTCATATATCTTCAAAGCCTTACTGTGAATGGGTACAGAAATCTCTTCAGAGTCCATTTCTTGTTACGGGATGGTTTTTCCAGGGTTACACACGTAAGGAACAGGGTTTAAAGTGAAATTTATTTAAATAGCCAGCATGCTCTATACCTTGTTCTTCCTTAGCAGACATGTATGCTACGTCTCTGGGTGTTTAGGCTTCTCTTTGACTGCTACTTTGTGACCCTTTTGCAACCCGATATACTCTGTGGATTATTTAGACTGTAAGGCGTAAGTGGCTGCTTCTTATTTTCCATCATATCCAAAACAAATGCCAAATTTTCACTGGTTTTCGTGGCTACTCACACAAACATACATTCTTCACCAAATGTGCTAACAAAATAAACTGTCTGTGCTCTTGAACATGGATAAAAAGAAAAAAATTTAAAAGTCAGATTTTTATTTTTTTAATTTAGTGACTAGATGATGCTTATCTTTCAAACTTGGCAGAGCCTTGCTACAGATGTATATAACTTTTTTCAGCAAATATATGTGAATGTTTAATTCACCTGACTCAGTGATAAACGTTACTTGCCTTTTTCTCAGCACGGATCTGTTGAGAAGCTGTCGAACGCAGCGGACTTCTCCCTTCTTTAGGGTTGCTCTTCGTGCACTGTGAAATGGGCATTACTCTGGGGAAGGGCTGCTCCCAGCGGGCCCAGCAGCTTTTCCTACCATGGAAGGAGGTTACTGGGCTAAACCGCCAGCAGCAATTTCACCCAGTGCCATGTGGGTTAACTCGCCGTGCCATGTAGGTTAACTTACCGTCCCGCATCCGGAGCAGCCCAAGCTCCACAGCCAGTGTAAGCACGCAATGGTGCGCAGGGGCTCTCTGCCGACCCGCTTGATCCGGAGGATGGGTAGAAGCCCAGAAACCACTTATGAGATCCCGCCGTAGCAGTTACGGTCCTTTGCTTACACGGCACCTCCCAGCAGAAGAGGTGTTCGGTGCCTCTGACTGAGACATTGAACACCTCCCTCTAAGTCTTGTAAAATGCTAATAGGTGCCAAATAAATGCCAGTCCTAAATCTCAGTGTAAGGATCTCACGCTTTAGAAAAGTAGGTATTAATCCAGTTTTTCAGATGAATAAACAGATGCACAGGAAAAACTAAATAATTTCTTTAAGGTCCAGGAAAAAAGGCACAGAGTTAACCAAGAGTTTTTGCTTGCTCCCTCTGCCCTTGCATAAACGCCTTGTCCTGGCATTTTGTTGCTGCATTTATGTGGAGGGCGAAACAGGAAAGCACCGGGCAGAAGAGGTATCCAGTATCACTTGGACAGGGACAGAGGAGGCAAAACGATGGTGTGAACTCAGAACTTCCAGTTCCTGAGTCTCCCTTTAAATTCTGGCGCTACACACTGGAGCCTTCCACTCCGGCATCGTTAATGCAGAATATTTGCTCAAAGGATTTGCAGAAACCAGACAGCCCCTTGGTACGTGGAGAAGCATTCGTGCTGGCACTTAACGCTGTAAAGTCGGTGGCGGCGGCGGTGTGCTCTGTCGCATCAGATGAGGTGTGTTACTCATCTTCTGGTAAGAAGTGAGTGGATGTGGTTGTGGAGGACGGGGCACGGGCAGGCACAGCTCTCTCTTTGGGTTTTGTTTTGCAGGATACAGGTGCCCTTTCCCAGAGCATGAGGGAGTAAAACACCCTGTAGCTGCTCATCTGTGCACGCCTGTCCCTGCCGGATTTTTATCTGGTAGGACACAGATCAGAAAAGTATCATCGCACATTTGGACAGGAACTTTCATTCTCTGTATGGTCACAAAAAGGTTGTTCACGATTTCCCTCAGCACTGAACTACAGCTGGGTGAGCGTTACCTGCCCTAGGGGCAGACATCGCGGTTCTGGTGTCTTGACAAAGTTACAACCAAGGATTTGGGGTCTGAAATCTTGGCTGGCAGTGAGCGGAGAGAAATTCCTCTAAAGGCATTTGGTTTGTATGGAACAAAACTTAAGCTTTTCAGTGCATTTGTATTTACCACCTCTTCAGGAGCCACTTCAGCTCCAAGGCTGTGGAGCACGGGCTGAGTCACAAGAGACCACTAATTCTCATCACTTTTTACAACTTTAAAGCAGTATTGAGCGCTTTACTGAACAGGTAAAAGCACCATTCGTGGGCCCCGAGTGCTTCGCCCCTTGTGTGGCAGTGCACAGCAGCCCATGGTCACCAGCCAGTGGGGTGCTCGGCGGCAGGTGCCAGGCAGATGGGCAGCGCTGCCAGGCAAGGAGCTGGCCCAGCAGCCGGCAGAGCAGCAGCTCTGGAAAATCCGGTGGTAAGAGAAATCCAGTTTCCCTTCCCAACTCTCTGCGTAATGTGCCCTTTACAGCTTGTGTTGCTGGCCTGGGAGCATCATCATCTCGTCAACCTCCTGTGATCACTTTTGGGGTGTTTCTGGTTTTACGGGGCACCCAGGGACAGCTTGAGGCCATCGGTGCGGTGCCGAGGCAGCACTGATTCCTGGAGAATCCAGATTTCACCTCAAAAGGCATAAAACAATGCAAGATCTCCAGCCCAGTAGAAAAACAGTCCTACTCCCCTGTCTCACCTCGTTAGCCCTCCGGTGTGATTTTGACTAGAGGTACGGGACCATTCGGCGCTGTCACCTTGCTCCTGTTTGCCAGTAGTCCGGATTACTGGATTAGCCTGGAATTCAATCCCAGTCTCGCTGAAAGCATCGGTTCCTGCCAGACCAGCACCAGCCCTCGGGGAGGTTTCAAGGAATAGCAGTGACGGCCAAGCGACCGAGGGGAGCAGGAGTCGCAGCAGATGCTCTGCAGCGTGTCTGCTCCTCTCTCGTGGCTCCTGCCAAGCATTTGGCTGTTCCATTTTTCAGCTGGATATGTTTGTAGCAAAAGAAGACATTTACAGGAATATCCTGTACCGTTTAGAAAGACAAATTTTTAAAGGAAAACCCCACAATGACTGAATTCCCCACCCCACCCCGAGAAAGGGCAGAGATTTCTAATAGAGGAATGGATGCACAAAAAGCAAAGCTTGAGTCCCTCCAAGGAAGGCACATCTTTATTCCTGAAAGAATAAACAGGACTGTAGGACTGACTGCGTAGCCTAATTATCAGCAATTAAATGCATTTCCTGGCTTTTCACAGCAGTCAAGTTTTCCTTGCTCTTAGGGCAAATCTTTTTACAAACACATTTAGGTGTTGGATTAAAGCTGGCTTTTAGGGAAAGTAACATTTTGGCAAGCACCCAGCTGAGCTGATGCACAGTAAGT